CTCTATTTAACGGGCGTGTCAGCCTTTTCTGGGTCCTTTCTGGTTTTGTTTTCTGGTTTTCTTCAGTCCTAAGTTGAGAGCTTATTTTAGTGCTTGAGGGAGTCATGTTAAGAATTTCATGTGTAGGAATTCATGTTAGGAATTTCATGTGTTGGCATGATTATTCAGTAACAAAATAAAGGTGTACAGGTTAGCACTTCAGAAACAGAATTGTTGAACTTTGCGATATACTGGTGTTTTGTAGCATTAGGGGTTCTTTTTGTCTAAAACCATCCATAGGCCAACAAATGCAAATGAGAGCTCATGGTCTTCTTGGTTGTGCATTTTATCAGATGATCTTACTATGAAGGAAGGAATTTAAAATAAATAAATAAATAAAGCTTTATTCATATCAAAACCATAGCTTAAAAGGTTTATCCAGCTGTTTTAAGATTACATTTTTTATAATTCCTTTTTCTTACGGATTGTTTCATAGGAGACAGTGAAAACGGTTGATGGGGATTTCACTCTCGTGTTTCAGTCTTCCCAGTTGCATCTGAAGGATGCATGGAGCCCGTTTTTCTTCCATCATTTAACAATTGCTTAGAATTGCCATGCTTAGAAAACCACATAGCGAAATATTCCAGTAGTAGAGTAGAAACTCAGGAGCCGTTGCCAAAGAGTAAAATACATGTGTTTTCCACAATAGTTGAAAAGTATGGTATTCACAGCACCAAGCCTGTCAGAGTTCAAGGAGTGTCTGGACAACGCTCTTAGTCATATGATTTAGTTTTGGGTAGTTCTGTGAGGAGCAGGGAGTTGGAGTTGATGGTCCTTATGAGTCACTTCCGACTTGAGATATTCTGTGATTCTTTTTGGTCTTTTTTGGTCCTTCATGTTAGTGTTGTTTTCTCACACTCTTTGCACTACTAAACTTTCTGTCATTTTAAAGCCCTAAGTGTTCAGCCTTTTCAGCTGTAGACCACAGCTGTATTTCCTCTTCTAATGGGAGGAGAAAGGCACACCCCAAATTCCCTTCACGTTTGCACATACAATAAAATCTACTTGTGTTCAGTAACTCCCTTTTTGAGCTTGTATTATATAGGTCTTTTGTTTCCTTGTGTTGCGGAGGAGTGGAATGCACCTCACTCAAAAGAGAGAAGCAGCAATATGTTTTATTGAGGTAAAATAATAATTTGACAGAGTTCAATAAATTCAATGGAATTTAACAAAGTTTGACAGTGGTTTACTAAGGTTCAGTAAGTTTGATGGCAAGGTTCACCTTGTTAATTACTGCATGGAAGAAGCGTACAAAGGAAAATTGAGTTAGCGAAACTTCGAAAGTTAAACAAGCTATTAGTCGCTTACCGAGGATCTGTTGTGGCAAGGAATCTCTCAAACTCGAGGAGTTAAGGGATCTCTCCGCCTCGGGCAAGGAAGGATCTCTCGGTCTCAGGTGAGGAATCTCAGACCTTGACAGGCGTCCCTGCTCAGGGGGAGAGTCACCTGGCAGTAGTCTAGCTGCAGTTCAGGGGGAGCTCAAATCTGGCTCATCCAACGATCTGCCATTGGTAAAAAGGTCTCTCTGCCTTGAAGGACCATCCTTGAGAGGTGTCCCAGCTCAAGGGGAGACCACTGCCATGCAGCCATGCTGCCTAGCAGGGAGAGCTCCGGGGCGGCTCACTTAGGCTGTCGTATTTATGGGATAAAGTGGTTGGCTCGTAGTCAAATCACATGCGATGGAAAGGTAGGCATGAGACTCCTTGTACCCACCACTTTCTTTTTTTGATAAACGGATTTTGGAAAAGCCACCTGTTATTTATGCGTTAATTGCATGATTGGTGTTCCAAACCCATATGTATTGATGTTTACTGTGTCACTCTGTTCCTTTGCGGGTTTTGGAGAACAGGTCGAAACTAGAGGAGTTCTTGGCCCGGCTACAGCTCAGGTCTCTACCTCCTTTGGAGCCTGTACCAAACTCCCGCTAGTTTGGTTAAGGGGTCTAGCGCATCCATCACACCTTAGAAGAGGGCACCTGGGAACCACGTTTTTTTGTGTCCTTCCTGAGTCTGGGATTCAGGCTAGATATTGTTCCAGTTGCAGCAATCTAGTTCCTGATGTCCTCATTCCTGGGGAGCCTGTGGCTTTCTCCTCTGTGCCCAGCGGAGGAGGGAGAATGGCTGAAAGGCAGCAACAGGCTAGACAAAGCTAGCAATATAAAATACTGTCTGGATCAAATGGGGCTTAAAATATAGTTGATCACAATTACATGTGTACAAGGCCAATCTGTCACCATGTTTGTTTAATCAAGATCACATAGAGATTTTAATTAAAATAGTGAGCTCATAACATCAGGCTGGTCATCTGTAACTGACAAGTGTGTTTAGTTACAAAGGCCAAAAAGTGGTCCTTATTTATGTGCTAGTTTTGCTAAATAATGGGTAACTTGTTTAGGTCACTTGCAGTAATTTGGCAGAGTGATACTAAAAAAATTGTTTCCTGTCCAGTTGGTGCCAGTAGGAAAGAGCCCATTATTTTCAGTGAGGTGGGATTGAGCCTTGAGTAACTACTTACAGCAGCTGCTTATCTTAGTTTCTTAAATTCAGAAAGTGGGAGCAACAGTTTAAACTCCTAATTTTCTAATATTCTGTGGCACCTGTTTTTCAAATGGTACTTAGAAAGGGGAAAATTAACTGGGGAAAAAAAGGGAAAACAACCATCACTTTTGTTCTGGGGGGGCAGGTTTAGATTTGGCCTAAAATAAAGAGAGAAGACAGTAATGCTGGGTGTCTTCTTAATTTAAATCAGCTAGGCAATAGCAGTTTCTAAACTTCCTAGATGAGACTCTCATGTCTGTTTAGCAGGACAAACTGCTCTATTAATTAAGCTTAGTCCCGTAAATCTCTTCTAGCTTGCAATCAAATCCCAAAGTAACCTGCATCATGTTGCTATTGAAGTCTACGGCCCAGGAGAATGGAGTTCAAGATCTCATTTGTCCTGTGTTCAGCTATGATGTGACTTGTTAGATGTCATTTTTGCATTGGGAATCACTAAGTCTATCTTTTAATTGTCTTGCAACAAGAAACAAGTAATAAAATGTTTGTGATTTATACTAATTTGATTTTTAATGAAAATGTATTCACACGCAGTTCTTGAAAACAAATTTCTTGGAGAAATAACCTTACTAAGTCAAAACATAATGAGCCTGACATTTCATAACAGAAAAATATTCTGGCAGGAGTTAGGGGAACAGCACAAAATAAAAGCAGAAACAAGCATTCCACAAAAAACTTAGCTCGTGACACTAGTTTTTGTTCATGTTGGGTAAGTGCTACAATTACAATTCCAATTGTTTTTTTTTTTCCAGAGGTACAATGCACAACTACTGCAGTCAATCTCAAGGAGAGAGCGTGGTTACTTCTAATTAGTTAGCCAGGGGAATTGAAATTAAGTAACGTTTCAGTTGATCATTTTGTATAATAATGGTTTCTGTGCATTTGTTTCTCTTCACTGAGCAGATCTCAACCTGCAAGACTTCTCCAAAGGGGAAAGTCCCATCTTCCTCCCATTATGCTCAAACTCTTCTCTTCCACATTTCTGTGGGTCCTGGATTCTTCCAGTTCTCTGGGTTCTTTGAGGAATCACCTTTACAAAGGGGTTTAGAATAACTCTCACAGAACTCTAAAATTAACGTCATGCTGTAACATTTATAGTTTCTTTTTCTGAGACAGAGATGTCCTTTTCGTCACCTTATTTTCACAGGAGAATAGTTTGTGTTCTCTGGGCTGAGGGCAAACCACGTTAGAGTGTGACAGAGGGAAAGCTAGATGAGATTAAAGAAATTGCTCATAATCTTGCGCAGTTCAGCTCAGGTTTTCAAAACAACAAGGCATATGCTATTCATGCGGCTTCCAATATGCAAGTGTTATTTATACACTGACAGAGGGGGAAGAAAAATAAAAATCAGGCAGGCAGCCAGAGCCCTGTAGATTTTTTTTTTTTTTTTTTTTTTGTAGCTTTCATCAAAGGGTGTTGCTGAGATGTCCTTTATTGGCTTGCTTTTCTTTTTATCACAGAGGTGATATTTGGCGGCCGGGTTCCTGCCTCCTCGTGATGCTTTTCAGACGTGTAGGCACTCTTCAAGTCTCATGCAGACTTTGCTTGAGTACCTTTGCTCATGAAGTTAAGCAAATTTTGCAATCAAACATGTCAGGAGGTGTTTGATTCACTGGTGCCTTAGAGTTTTTCTTAGTTCTGAGCTACCAAGAGCCCCAGTTAGAGTCAGTTCTAGCAGCATCCTGACTACTGAAATCATTGACCATGGGAAGATCCCTAGTGTTTAAATTTGCTAGTATTTTCTCAGACGCACAGCCAGTGCTTTGATTAAAAAATATATCCTATTTTTAACCTTTATTTTGCTTGGTAAAATCACAAAATGAGCAAGTGATTTGAGTTTTCCACTCGTTGCAAATTGTGTCACGTTAAGCATTACACTTTGGCTGAACCACAATACCAAGATCAATGATCGTGATATTCTGCCATGTCGGGTCACAGGGCAGAGGAAGTGCTGGTTTACTGGAGCCTTTTTATACATGGTATATGCTAAGTGCACTCAGTCATCTTTGTTTAAGACTTTTTTCCTGCCTCACTCTCCGATAACATATTGACCACTATTGCTCATATGCTTAAAGGAGGGAATAAGTATAAACCTTCTGATCTTTTAAAAGACTTTTGGATTTTATTTTAAATGCAAATTGCTTTGTGGTTACTGTATTTTTGCAGGTGTTTCTGAATTGTTAATACTACCCCCAGTGTAAGGGGGCTGAATTTTTAGCGCAAATAAAAGAAGTCAAATTGTTTTCAGTAACAGATTAAATTCTTATGAAAGATTTGGTAAATGACAGGAGAAACTGTGCCTGTGTTACAAAAGATTTTGGGACAGCCTCACTATACAGATACATCATGGAAATTCATTTTGACAAAATTGTCTCAGGCCTCTCTTGGTTTCTTTTTGTCTACAGAACCCCCAACTCCTATCGCCCCTCCTGAGCTGCTGGCTGTCGGAGCCACGTACCTGTGGATCAAACCCAATGCCAACTCCATCATTGGAGACGGGCCCATCATTCTGAAAGAGGTGGAGTATCGGACGACCACAGGGAATTGGGCAGAAACGCACATTGTAGACTCTCCTAATTATAAATTATGGCATTTGGATCCTGATGTGGAGTATGAGATCAGAGTGCTGCTCACTCGCCCTGGAGAAGGAGGCACGGGGCCCCCTGGACCACCACTCACAACAAGAACAAAATGTGCAGGTAGGGTTTCTACTGCTTTACAATACAGCACAGATATTTTGGTTCACTTACTAACGCATTAATAAATGGTCTTTCGCACAGCCTTATTGTAGATGTGGTCTGAATTGACATTATGAATCTTGATATACCCTGGAATAGTTTACTTTTTATTCCATAGGCAAGTGTTTAAGAAACTGTTTTTTCTATGCATGTAGTGTATTTGCCAAACTTTCTGCTATAGTGTATGGCTGTTTTCTGTTGAAATGGGCAAGCAGGTGAGGTTGGGGGTTGTTCAGCCTGGAGAAGAGAAGGCTCCGGGGAGACCTTATTGCAGCCGATCAGTACTTAAAGGGGGCTTATAAAAAAGATGGCGGCAAACTTTTTAGCAGGGCCTGTTGCGACAGGACAAGGGGGAATGGCTTTCAACTAAAGGGGGGTAGATTTAGACTAGATATAAGGAAGAAATTTTTTACGCTGAGGGTGGTGAAACACCGGCACAGGTTGCCCAGAGAGGTGGTGGATGCCCCATCCCTGGAAACATTCCAGGTCAGGCTGGACGGGGCTCTGAGCAACCTGATCTAGTTGAAGATGTCCCTGCCCACGGCAGGGGGGTTGGACTAGATGACCTTTAAAAGTCCCTTCCAACCCAAACTATTCTATGATTCTATGAGAGTTTCCCAACCAAATTGTTCTTAAGACTAGTCTATTATAAAATTTTCACCCTGTAAGTGCATAACAGTATATTTTTTGTTCTTGGGTAATGGTTCAGCATTGGTTATTAACAAATTGACAGTGCTATCAGTTTATGGGTGCAGTGTAGTGAAGCAGTAAGCATTTAGTTTTTAAGATACGTTTTTGTATTCCATTTGATGGAACTTATTCTTCTCCTCGCTCCTGATAATGAAACCTGTTCGAACACTATGCGGCATCTTCCCTTTGTCTTTCATATTGGAACAGATCAATTTTGATGCAGGGACAGGAAAAGTCTATCTTCTTTCTAAGCCATATCGGCCTTTCCAGGAAAAACTAAAGGATCGTGTTCCTCATGTTTCAGATATATTGGCTGTTCATCCTGTTTTCATACATTAATCATTAGCCATTAAGGGGAGTCAAGCTCTGTGCCTTGCAAGGGGATGAACAAAGCAGTTTTCTACCTAGTAGGTTTTTTCCACCGCACAGCTGTCTTCTCAAGATTTACATTTTTGTAATTTTTGCAAGGTCCTTTCTGTGGTGTGAACAAAGGACGGAGACTAAAAGGCTGCTCTCCTTTTTCTACAACCTTCCTTCCCTCCCCACAAATTAGTGGTTTACAGCAAGTGGGTTTAAGTAGTGGAGAGCTTATGCAAAAGCATTCTGGTTCCAGGTGCTCTTTATGACCAAATAGCAAGCCTGAAATGTAAAGAATGCATCAAGAACAGTGAAATCCCATCCTGGGATGGGATTAAGCAGTGCAATGTTAGCATTCCTCATCCATTGTCACAGCATGAACATCCCCAGCGGCATCCTCTTCCTCTACCAAGCAAGGAAGCCTGGCAGGTTGAGTGTGTTGTGGGGCAGGGGGACACATCCTTACTGCCTTTCCTTTTTTATACAGGTTGTAAAGCAGTGAACATTTAGTGTCTGTTTAAGAAGAATTGGTTGGGGAAAAAAAAATTGGTGCATGAGGATCTGGCATGTAGGTGTTTGCTATATTCAGCACCTGTACATTGGTAGAAGACAGACGTTTGGAGGCTTTTCTGCAGCTAGGTGGAAAGCATGAAGTGACATGGATGATGTCCTGGCCTAGTTGGGCAATTGGCACATGCTCTGCTACTCATCTTGTGTCTGTCTCCTCCCTCACTAGTGTGGTCAGATTCTCTAACCTTCAGCAGAAATAACTGCAGGCCTGGCCTGGGACTGACATATGCAAATCCAATGCATTTGCATATGGAAATATGACATGCTGAGATTTGGTCTGTAGTTCATGCATTGTGACTTTGCAGGCACGCGCTCTGCAGCAGCCAAACTTGCAAACTTTTCTGTATTACCTGTAAAGAATGCTTGCTTTAGTTTAATCCGGGGTAAAAAAAAAACGGATGTTGGCTTTGTGCTTAATGATGTCTTGTACTGGATCCCAAATTGCTGAGTTTCCTTACTCAGCATAGGTACCGACTGACATTGTGAAGAATGACATAGATAATTTGTTCAAGTTGGCCAAGCGGTGCCACTCACTATTTTCCATCCTAATTTACTAATGAAAATCTAACTGGAGAAGTTCATTCTGTTAATGTTAGTTGTCATACAGAGCTTGTTGAGATTGATGGTGATGGCATTTATGTTTTGTTTAGGGCATTGGGTGGGAGAAATTGTAATGATCTTGATCTAAGCATGGTCTCGAAGGAAGGGAGAGACTTACTCGGTATCTAAAGATGGACAACTTCCACAAAATGCCAACTGAAATGATAGACAAGAAAATGCAACTCATTCTTCCAGTTTCCATATGTCATGGAACTCCTTCAAAATACCCTATTTTGAGGATAATTACACAAAACTTCCATGGTAAAGATTTTCAAAAAAGTGCTGAACCAAGAAAACAGCACTACTTCCTTGATTTTTCTTAGAGTACCTAACAAATGACATCAAGGAAAACTGAGAGGTTTTTTAAATAGTTGAGGGATGAGTGAGCTGCTTTTTTGAAGTGAATTTTCTGGTTCTTTTCTTTGTCATTACTTTTTCTTAGCAAGAGGGAAGTACCAAACTCCTCCACGCTTGTATGCAATCAGTAGATGACTGGAGCAGTCCTGTTTTACTGGACTGTTTAGTGTTGGTACTGTGTTTATGAGGCCCACTGACAGAGATAACAAAATTGACTGCAGAAGTAATAGTAGAGAATATCACCTATACTGGAGAAGAAGTATTTACTTATTTAAATTGCAAGAAATCAGCGTAACCATAAACAGACGGTGTCTGCCACCTTCCAACAGTGGAAAGTCAATGTCCCTTTTACTAAATAATCACCTTAGTGTCTTTTCACATAGACATTGTATACTTGTGTGCTGGGGAGTCTGAGTAACTACTGGCATAACTTTCAATTGAGGCACACCTTCCAATGAGATTCTTGTTTTTTATTTTCATCTCTGAATTAGAACAGGATTTAAGAAAGATCATGCTTTTCTTCCACTTCAAATCAAGCGCCGGCAGCTCATATACAAAGGTACAGTTGTCTGCTGTGAGTTTCTTGACTGACAGACTGAGCAAAAGCATGACCAGAATGGCTCAGCGTGAGCTTAGAAAGTCATTACACCATGATGCAACTACTATCAAGATCATTCATGATTTTCAGATTTTTGATCAGAGTGAATGGAAGTTGTTTACATGGACTTTAAAAAGTTTTTCATTATATAAACCCCATAAAAACTAATTATGGGAGGTCTTGCTCTAAATGAGCACAAAGTAGTTTTATTAAACTGGATAATATCTTACCTAAATTTCTATAAACAGTATGTGCCCAGGCATCCATTATCCCACTGGTGATGCTTTTGGTTTTCTACAGGACAGCATTACAAGACTTCATTTATATTTGATTTTTAGGAATGATACTGAAAATTAAGTCCCAGCTTGTCTCCTTCCAAGGAAAAACCAACTGCCAGAAAATATGGCAAACCCTGCCTTTGTAAAGGAATGATTTTGTTGTTGTGGGGTTTGTGTTTGATTTTTTTTTTTTTAATAGACTGTGTGATAGGTTGTGACTTGGGGCAGGAGAAGATTAAATGACCTTGAGGCATAAAACAGTAAACTGTCAGTCAGAGGGAAGAGTTGCTCAGCAGGGAATGTGGAAAAGAGAAAGGCTGCTTAAGGTTAAGACCAGGCACAGGGTTGAGAGGTGGTTAAAAGAAAGGAAGATATAAAATATTAGTTTTTACCCCCAAAATAATAGGTTGGGGGAGACAACAGGATCAGAATAGTATGTTTGAACACAGTTCCCAGTAGTGCCTAGTAGTTCAGCATTGGTCTTCTGAGTGTATGGCTTTTTTTAGCCATCCTCAATAGTCAAACAGAGCTCTTTAAAATCCTTGTTTCACGGGCTTCATTCAAGAGTGTGCTTTGGAAAGCTGTGATTTGGGAAGGTTGGGGCTTGTTTTCTTCTCTGTGCTTATTTACTATTCCCCTGCTCTTTTTCTTTCTCCAGTTGCCACAGAAAGGGAGAACAGGAGAGGTCATTGTGTGTGTGTGCAATCTCATCTGAAAAGTATTTACCTTCTAGTGGGATGAACTTGCATGAAAAGCAAGGCCAAAGAGTAACATTTAAATGAATATTAATAAAGGGAGAGAGATAAGACTTTCTTTAAAAATAATATTTAGACCTGGTAAAAATACTATCTGAAAAAACTATCTTGAACATTAGCTTCTCTGCCTTTTTGGATGATGACAACAGGTGACTCATAAGATGAGGAGGGTTTTGTGACCTTGAGGCTTGGGAGCAGGAAGCTTTCCAGTCCGACAGGAGAGTTGCTTAGTAAGGAATGGGAGGGGAGAAAAAGTCCTGAGAAACCCTGTAATCCACCCCCACCTCACCACCCCCGAATAGAAAAGGGGTGGCAGTGATTCTTCATAGAACAAGCTTGTGATAATAGGAGGCTTGTCCTCATATGAACAACTCCACAGGTCACATGCAGCCTCTATC